TATACGCAACACAATGGCAAGTAGCAATATTCAATACATGTTATCAGAGAGTGAATCCGTGAGTGAATATATTTAAATTCTGAATGGATTATACCCTAGAAAGTGCGCAAAGAGCGCTTCCCTTATAATCACTGGAAAGCTGTCACTCATCTTACTGTAGTTCATCACAATCTCACAAAGTTAACTAATCAAAGAAGCTTTACACTACACAATCTCTTATTTACATCATGTCTACACTTTCTTTGTTGTGATGAGAGAATTCGCGAATGTGTAGAACTCAGCAGCACTGAACAGGACACTGGTGTTTTGAGTGGTGAGTGGATTGTAACTTAACCACCTCTGATTGGTCACTGTGTTCATGAAATCAACAGGTATGTCTGTGGTTGGCTATATTGCTCAATGCTGCAAAAACATGCTGTGAATAAAAACGGGACCAGCTGGGCGGTATACCGATTCATACCGAATAGCGGTGTTTATTTTTGTTATGATATGAATTTTTAAAATACCGCAATACCGGTGTATGTCGCTTAAACAATGTTCGGAACGCGACACTGTTTGAGAGGGGTCCCTTTTCACTGTTGCACTGTGGTGAGGGAACAGCTGTATGTGTTACTAAGCGTGAAAGTTCCGAAACTGAAGCTGTAGAAATCAAGCGTAGTGTTAGTTCTAGCAGGTCACGTTAGTCAAGCTCGCATCAGCTGACTCTCTACTGATCCCCATCAACCTATGGGAATACGACACCTATCTAAGTTCATATATAAGTAGTATCAGCAGTTTTCGCATTGCTCAATAGCTAATTACCCTCCTCCATCCCCAACTCCTCCTCTGTCAGTCAGGATTCAGCCTTCTGATTCTCCTTTGAATCAGACTAATTCTAAAATGTGTACATAACATTATTGAACTTTAACGATATCTGCAATACATTTTATGTTGGTTCTGTTCTGTTTACCCTATCGCTGCTCTCCCTGCTCTCATCCATGCTAGACTGCATGGATGTGCAGGGAGTTCTTGCCCAGAACGGAACCATACCGCCAATCCAAACTGTATGCTAATTGTCAATCAACTTTGACGATAGTGGTCCTGACAGAACTAATAGAACGTGATGACACAGAAGAACACATCCACAATATGCACATTGATCGCCACAAATATCCACCGCCCCCTGCCATCAGCTCCCGCGTCTCACACACGAGCGCGACTTTAGCACTAGATTTAGCAACTTTCAGACCCTTTTAGCGGATTTTTTCCATAGAATATTCATACTGACAAACCTAGAGACTTTTTGGGATAAACCTTAGCTATGGTTCAGTTGGAAGATTTCGCCAGTGCTGTCCCGCGAACGCGAGGTCTGACTTTCCCGAAGAAGCGTCACCTCTCTCGGCGTCTGTTCTGTGCAGTGAGCGGCAGAGAAGCAGCACTTTCAGTTGTCCGAACCGCAGCCAACTCGTCAATAAATGAGTACAAAACAGCGTTTCCTAGCACCTGTCGCTTACTGATTGTTTGGAATTATAAATATGAGCGTAGTTCGTCTGTTAATATCAGACGCAGGCAGTGCGCTGCATGAGACAAAAAATAATATAGCCGCTCTTTAGACGATGCCGCGATTATAAATGCGAGTGACTCCTGGTTAACATGTATTAAAAGGGGTCATGTTTAGTCACTATTTAGTGTGGTGTTTTTTAACAATATTCACTCATCATGACAGTAAAATAGGGCATTCTAAGTCAATATACTGCAGTATTTCCTCTCTCAATCAGTAGAAAATATGGTTAACAGCCGGTCATGCATGAAAAAAAAATACCGTCGTGTACCGTGAAACCGGTATAATTTTGAAAAATACAGTGATATAAATTTTTGGTCATACCGCCCAGCACTAATTTTTGTGATGCATTTTTTCCACGGGCACAGCCGATCCTCCCTATAAGCAAAATACGCAAGCTGCATAGGGCCCTTGAAACACAAGTGGGACCCCTTGCTCTTGCCCTTTGTTTCGTTTTTGAATTTGGCCAGCGGTTATGAAAACATGAATGATAATTTCTTTTAATGCGGTGTGCTGTCGCCCTTTCTATGTAAAAATCAGTCAAATCATGTGTAATGTGAATGTCGTACAGTCTTGCTCGAGACAAAAAAACGAAAGCATACCGAGCCGCGGAAGAGACACTGTTTCTCAAGCGCTTTCCTCGAGCGCGATTCCAGAAGGAGTGAAACACGGACAAATGCATTTCATTCATTCGTTCATAACCACTCATACCCCACTCCACCGCCCAGTTTTGCGTAGGGCCTCCAGAAGTCTAGGATCGGCACTGATAACCACTGTCATATACATGACGTTATAATAAGAGCACTATTGTAAAAAATGTTCAATTCTTAGGGTTTCGCTGACGTTTAATGTTAACTATCTTTTAATCAAAACATAAAACATTATTTACCCCGTTTGTATCTGTGAGGCGTCCGTTACACATTTTTCCTGTGTGTTAATGTAGTTATGGCTGTCGAATGTCTGACTTGACTCTTGGTAATGTATTTTGCCCCGCCCCCAAACATATGATTCGACTATCAGTCGAATATCGGCAAGATCCGAAAATTCCGATTAAACTATGAAAATCTGTAGTCGGGGACACCCCTAATGACAATATAACTTCCCCCCCATTGCTACCAAGCAAGTTTACTATGTCCAAAAAAAAAAAGCTGAGCTGGTTATGTGATGCAGCTTATAAATCATGCACTATACTGAAACTGTTTTGAGGTCATAAAATAGCATTGTGCAACGAAATCTGAGAAAGTCTTTATTAATCAATAATCTGCCCCTGAAATCATTATTTGTGTGAAAATAAATAACATTTGTTGGTGTTTTACTGCCTCTAGTGTTCATTTCAGCTGGAAACTGCACTGACCTGTATATCTAGATACATTTTTGGAATTTTGCAGAAATGTAGATGCATGTCTTTCCGTAGGGCCCCCAGAAGTCTAGAATCGGCACTGGCCACGGGTCTAACAGTTAACAGGCAGCTCTCCAGTATCCGCACAGCATGTCGACATGTTACTTTTTTTAAATAAAAAGTAGACACGTTGTACACTGAGGTAGGCCTGCTATTTATTTTTATGTCTGAGGAAAAAAAAAACAAGACTATGCCTGTTTGAAGAAGTGTGAATCCAGGTCTTGTTGTTGCTCTGTATGCTGCTGTTTGCGCGTTAAAATTAACCTGTGAAAAAATTAATAAATAAATTATATATATATATATATAAATTATTTTTAATGTATCACAGATACTTGTCCATTGTATTTTTATTTGATACTAATTTATTATTCGAATTTTATCAGTTAACTGTTAATGTTCAGATAACGAGCAGCGGTTGTCGGTCAGGAAAATGAACTGAAATGAGCATCCCTATTCAGTATGCGTCAATATTTTGGTGAAATATAAATGAAAATGTTTGGAAGAGATACAGTAATTTTTCATTTAAATGCATCAAGTCTAGACAATTTATAGATTTTTATTATGTTTTAGGTATAATTATATATTATTTTAAATAATATAATTCTATATTAGCCTATTAGTAATAATTATATGCACACAAACACGTATGTATGTACATGTATATAAATATGTGTGTGTACAAGTAAGTGTGTTGAACATTATTCGTTTTTTTGCAACAGTGACAATAGATTTGCTCAAGATGAAGGTTACTTTGACAATAATCAGTTTTTGAGAGCAAATACATAAATGTCTATATATTATAGATATTGAGTAATGTTAAAAGACTGTTCTAAAATCTTTCCATTTAGTCGTTTTTGTCTGCATATTGTATTTTGAAAAGGCTTATGGTCAGTTGTGGGCCGCACACACAGAAGGTATCATAGCTGCAGTGTTTTACTGGGGGACGGACAGACTGAGAATGGTTTAATTACAGCAGCGGTTTTGCTGAGGATCTCTGACTTCTGACTGAGTGGACAGCAGTGGGGCAGGGCCAGATTACCCACAGTCCTGAGGCGGTTCTGCGGTTTACCTCAACAATCTCATCAGACTGACTGAGCAAAAATACTCCTCTGATTGCCGGGCTCTCCCGGAGTTAGACTGAACTGACGAATACTTCGCCCTACCGCCAGTAATGAAAAGACCTCTGTCCACGGGTTGTGAGAAAACATCTCTCAGGTTATGAAGGGCAAAAGAAAACCACTGTTTGTGGGGAGCACTTGGGAAATAAACAAACATAATCGCACCTATGCTGAAATAAGTGGGTTAATATTACGGCAGAATGAGTTGTCTTGGAATATAAAGCACAGTTGTGAACTCGGCATGACCAGATGTGTTTCTGTGTTGAAACCAGCTATCTTTGGAATGAGGAATGGTAATTTCAGCAAAGTCTACGACCACATCCACAAAGTTTTCTTCTAAAATGTTTGTCTTTTCAAAGTTGCCGGTCACTGAGGTATTTGCTTATTTCATAAGTGGTACAGCTAGATGTTCCCCTCAACAAAAATTTGATATATTATTGCTGAAGCATTTAGTGGTTGACCAATATGGGTTGTTCAGTGGCTGATATATACAGTATACAGGATGCTGGATGATGACAGATTTTTGCTAGTTTTATATATAGTACAGTATAAAGTACAAAAGTCTGAGACCACTCGTGAACATGTTTCTATTTTGCAACTTTCCACACATTTTCATTGTTAATTATGTTTGAGATCATATTTGGGGTATTGCTTATTCATTTTATGTCAAAGCATTTCTTAGTTTTAGAAAATTATAATATAATTGTGAAAATAATAATAGTAATAAACTGTTTTATATTTGTATGATTTTAATATCTAGGTTTAAAGTGGATTGTGCATTTTGTTTTTGCTAAAAATTGCTAAAATTAAATAAATACTTTTACATAGTATTTACTCAAAAACTTGAGTCAAGTGGTTAGTAAGAACCTCAGACTGACCAAATATTGTTAAATTAGTTGATCTGAGGGATGCATTTCACACTTAGTGTATTTCTCTGTTCCAGCTCCGAAGACATGCAGTCCGAAGCAGTTTGTGTGTAAAGATCAGGTGACCTGCATCTCCAAAGGCTGGCGCTGTGATGGCGAGAAAGACTGTCCCGACGGTTCTGATGAAGCCGCAGATATCTGTGAGTAAACCGTTTTATCCATCTCATCAGATACGTATGACATAAAATGTTGAAATGTTTTGACGCTATAAACTGAAGCCAGATAAAGTCTCAGGTATTTGTTTGTGTGTGTGTACAAGTTAAAAATAGCTTTAAAATGTATCTCAAGATCTGTATGATCTGTTGCATTAACCAAAATGTACACAGTGTTAAGTAGAATAGCACATGGGGGTTAAAGGCAGACAGACTGCAGTAACAAGTGTGTGTTTGAAGGACACTCTGTGTGTCTCTTCTGAGCGATGGCACTAATTAAACTGCTCTGTTTAGTCTGGCTGACTGCACACAGTCCTGTCCAGGCAAGTTATCTGTGTGTGTGAGCTCATCTCAAACGCAAAATACAGGAGCCGGCCTCTTTTTATTTAACACTGACTCCTAAATGTTTCCGTACATGCAGACCTAATGAACCTCAATTCACATCTGTCACACAAGCCAGACACCCTCACAGCAGGCGGCCATGATGGTTCCACCATCAGCATTTGGGTAGTGCTTTACTGTCCAGCAGGAGAACAGACAGAGCTAGTTAAGTGTTTACATATGACCTTCTGTGTTGTAATTGCAGAGCCTTTTCATCCTCTCAAACTGCAAACATCCTTTCTTTGCTAAGTACTCTAGTCTGTGTTTACATCTAATGGCTTTTCTTCATTTACCCTTTCTATATTACACTAATTTATTGGAGGAAATTGTGGACTTCTCTGTCTTGATGTTTTTTTTTTTTTAGCTTTCGTGTTTGACTTTTCATGTCCCCCCACCCCCCCACACTCCTTACAAAAAGTACTGTGGCTGACACACCATGTTATGTAATGGTAATACTAGCGTTGAACTGAAGTTTTACAAAACCAAAAATAAAGCTTTCATTAAGGTAAAAACTGAAAATAAAGTTTCAGTAATTAAATTTGAGTAATTGGGTATTTGGACTCAGTATGCTCTTCATGGTGGTTTTCGTTTTTTTTTTTTTCCTAGTGGTAAATTAAACCATAGTAAGGTTTTTTGGTAACAAGCAGCCCCTTGATATTTTGATGAAAGGGAGACGCTGTGTGTTTCTAGGTGAAAGCAAAAGCACTTTATTTGGCCTTCCGATAGTAGATGCATTTAGGAATCTTTAAGATTACTTACAACAGAACAGCAATGCATTTTATGGACGACCGTTTCGTGAACCTAGGAGAGGAGGTCATTCTGACTTTGCTATGACAATCTGGCGCTTCTGAATCAGCTACTGTTTTGTTATTAGTTTAAGTATTTGCTATTGACTGTTCAAATGCGGAGTTTTGCGCATCGTGTGTGTGTGTGTGTGCACGCGCAAGAGAGAGAGAGAGAGAGAGAGACGGTCACATCACAATGGAGTCAGCTGTCTTAACCGTGGCTTGTGTACTGCAAACACATATTCATCACTGTGTCTGTCACGCGACTCTGTATTTCATCCAGCCTCTGCTAAATCAATTACAGAAATGCACAGCTTCTCTGTAATTTTACCATGGCTCAGTCATGGGATCTAATGGTAATACTATGGTACATTTATATATTCTATGGAACTAAATAAATTCCATGCTTAAAAACAATGGGATTCATGAGTGCGTCAAAAATACTGTGGTATTACCATTGCCAATATCCAAGAAACCACACTTACAGTACAGTACTTAAAAGGTATCATATCAACAGAGTATCAACCTTTTGGACATAGAACAATGCACTATGATGGTACTTTGGACATATACCGTAGTAGTACCATGGATTTCTTGTAGATATCATGGTAAATTAATTTCAGTTTAATTGTATGAGGGTCTGATACTAGTACAGTACCAGGGTACTGCCACACTACTTTTTATACAGGCAGTTATAGACCAATTTGGTGTTTGCAAACAGTGATTACCTTTTTTTTGCTCTTCATGGTGGTTTTCGTTTTTTTTTTTTTCCTAGTGGTAAATTAAACCATAGTAAGGTTTTTTGGTAACAAGCAGCCCCTTGATATTTTGATGAATGATTTCGGCCCTCCAAAACTATTTTGGCCAAAATCAAAAAAATGTTGTGCTATTTTAACTGAATATTTTCAGTTGCTGAAATATCTGTGCATTGCTAGGGAATACGGTGTTATTTACTGTAGTACTGAAGTCCATATGCCGTATTTCAGACATTAAAGGGGTCATATGATGCGATTTCAAGTTTTCCTTTCTTAAAGTAACAGACGGAAGCCATGCCATAAAAGAATAAAGGTAATTTTGATTTCAAAATTCTGACTTTTTTCTCGCAATTCCGAGATTATATCAATTTGATAAGAAAAATCAACTCGTCATTCCCTCTTTTCACCTCGGCTCAGAATCATGAGTTTGTAATTCCACACTTCTGGCTTTTTCCCCCTCAGAAATGACAAACTTGCAATTGTTGAATTAAATTGAGTTATAAAGGCTGAACTAGGAGACTTGCATTTGTGAGAATTAATTCAGAATGGTGAGGTAAAATAGGTAAATGCTATAGGTTTAAATAGCTGCTATTTCATGCTGTAACTGCAGGGCTAATACAATATGTCCCCTAAGAACTGCATATGTGAATATTATGTAGACAAATTGTTTAACGCTTTAAATTTGTTTAAATTTATGCTTTAAAAGTAGGGTTATCATAGCAGGTTTCATCCATAGTCTGTCCTTTTAAACGTCTGCGTTTAGCTTCAAATGGCATCTTTGACAGCAGTTTTCTAGAAAAATAATTTGCATTATTCACATCCAAAGGCACAACAATACATTGTTTTGTCTTATTCCATAGATTTTACCCGTTTCCCTCCACTTGTTCCCAGTGTTTTTCTGGGATAATCATTATACCATGGATTATACCATGGTTCCTTTTTGTAAGTTTCATCAAGCCTCTGCCAAAAGAATTATGTGAAATGTCCAGCTGTAGTTTATGGACTATGATGAGAAATTCACACGGGACTCCTCCAAATAAATGGCCCATCGTTTGGGCGTCTTACATAGCTCCTGGGCTTTTGAGAACTTGGTGCTCAAAGCACGTAAACATCAAAGAGTTTTCCGCCCACAGATAAACTCTGCTGCAATCCCACCATCTGTCGCTCAAAAAGCGCCACTAATATAATTTCAATGCCACTAATGCAGTTTGGCTGAACACACAAAGGGGCTTTTCATTAGACGGAAGCTCTGACCTTCTGATTTCTCATGATCTTTTTCTGCCAATTACACACATTACACACTTAGGCCTAATACTCTTTCTTAAAGCCGTTTCCAACACTTTAAATTCAAGAGAAAGGCCTGTACCGGCTGTCAGCATTTCAAATGAGAATGCCCATAAATTGTATAGTTAGTGTCACGTCTAATCCTGGTCTTAACTGTCGTTTTGTTTTTAGAGGCTAGGCGGTGTCTGCCGGATGTAACGCCATTGAAGAGATAAAATGAGATGGGTTGCAGAAACCTGTTTATCAATTCTTCTGGTTTTGAAACACAAACACACTCATTCAGACCCAAGTCTGGTGGCTGTTGCTCAGGGTTCAGTTGAGACTTGTCTTGTTGTGCTACGGAGGTGTGCTGTGTGTTTGAAGGTTGTTCTCATGTCCTACTTCATCTCTCTAGTTCAGGTTAATTTCTAACTGAGTTCCCACCAGTGCCATGCTGCCAGAACAAATAAATCTTGCCCTCCTTTTCACTCTCTCTCTCTTTTGTTTCCCTCTCACTTTCTCTCTGGGTGTAAATCAGAGATTTCAACAAACCTGGCGCCCAGCGTAGGGCTTGTTTATATCTTTAAGTAGGTCAGTATATCATTAGAAAAGCACTGAAATAAGAGACGAGCAATGAGAAACTCTGTTTCACTCGTTCTCTCTCTCTTTCAATAAAGAGAGAAGATTGAGAAGGGTTTGGTGACGTTATCTATCACTATTTCTAATGCACCTGTTGTAAAAGTCAATTGTTGCATGCATCTCTAAATGTGAAGGTAACGCTTGTATATGGAATTGATGCATTAGAGATATGTATTGAGGTTGGTCATTTTGCTTGCTCAATTACTTGACACTGTTAAAATATTTTTTTATATTAATAATAAAACATGCAATAGTAGTAGTAATAATAATTATTATTATTTATTACAATTAATTTTAATTACAGTGAATTTGACAAAAAAATAATTATTGTTATTATTATTGCTAGTAGTATATAATTAGTGGATTTATTAAATACACTAACGGTCAAAAGTTTGGAATAATTTCAGTTTTTAAAAATGTCTTTTGCTCTCCCATGCTGCATTTTTTGATTAAAAATACAGTAAAAAGGTAATATTGTGAAATATTACAATTTTCTATTTGAATACATTTTTAAATGTTTATTAATTCCTATGATGGCAAAGCTGAATTTTCAGCAATCATTACTCCAGTCTTCGTAGTCATGGGATCCTTCAGAAATTATTCTAATATACTGATTTGGTGCTCAGTTATTATCAGTTGTTAATAATGGTGCTTATTATTACTAGCATTGTTGAAGACAAAAATATCAAGCAGCATTGATAATAAAAATAAATGTTTTTTTTTAGCACCAAATCAGCATATTGGAATGATTTCTGAAGTATCATGTAACACTTTTGTGAGATTTTAAAATATATTCAAATAGAAGCTAGGTATTTTAAGTTGTAATTTAAATTATTATTATTATTTTTTTTTACAATATTACAGTTTTTATTCAGTTTTTGATAATATAAATGCAGCATTGGTGAGCATAAGACACTTCTTTAAAAAAAAAAAAGAATTATTCCAATCTTTTGATACATATTTAAAGAAATGTATATATTATTTGTTTTAGTCCCCGGCAATCGCAAAAATTAAAAAGAGGCCCCTTTTTGGCATGTATGTGTTTAGTTTTTATATTTATATATTTTTATTTATATTTACATTTTTATAACTTGGTCAGCTCAATTATTGCCTTTTTCATGTTTGATAATTGGCACTTCTGTATGTGGCTACTGGTGCCCATCCT